TCATGATTGAAATTTTTAAAAACAGTAACTCCGCTCTCAAGGTATAATATTATTCAGCTAAATTTCAAAATGTTGCTGCTTCTCTATTTTAATGGGTGGAAGAAAAAATGTACATACATAAAAGGAACAGAGGCTATGGTACATCAAAAGGTAATGAAATTTGAGTATTGTTGGCCATAACATTTTCAAAAATACCAACCAATAAGTTTTCATTTCTAAGAAACATGGATCGAGTTCCATTCGGGAGCATACTACCAATGGAATTGGTAGAAACTAAAATTGAAGAAAAAAAATTTACACAAAAAGTAACAGTCATGAGTAAATTGTCAAATTTCCGTCATACTGCTAGTTTTACGATAACTTAAAAAAAATGTTTCAAATTCATTAAATAAGGGCTTGAAAAATTTGATGAGATGTCCTTTCGACCGAGTTCTAAGATGAAGACGATAGCAGTAATCGTTACTGTGATTTTTGTGAAAATTTGGAAAAAAAAATTTTTTTTTGACAATCAGAATTCCGCAGATATCTTTGGATTCCTGGCTTCNATTGTCAAATTTCCGTCATACTGCTAGTTTTACGATAACTTAAAAAAAATGTTTCAAATTCATTAAATAAGGGCTTGAAAAATTTGATGAGATGTCCTTTCGACCGAGTTCTAAGATGAAGACGATAGCAGTAATCGTTACTGTGATTTTTGTGAAAATTTGGAAAAAAAAATTTTTTTTTGACAATCAGAATTCCGCAGATATCTTTGGATTCCTGGCTTCGAATGAATTGTATCATGGCTTGAAATTTTTGTATTGATGTCCTTAAGTGGAAGTTGAACGATGGTTACAATAACTGCCCACGTTGATTCAATTTTTTTGTAATAATTTTCAGAAATTTCAAATTTTTCATCAGTTTCCCCGAAAATTAGCTTTTTCATGGTTTCTTCAAATGTGATGTTTCAAACTCAATCAATTATGGATGAATACATTTTTTGCAATGATATTCTGATGAAATTTTGTTATGATATAAATAGTATCATTCTTTCATTTGATTTATACNTTTTGTATTGATGTCCTTAAGTGGAAGTTGAACGATGGTTACAATAACTGCCCACGTTGATTCAATTTTTTTGTAATAATTTTCAGAAATTTCAAATTTTTCATCAGTTTCCCCGAAAATTAGCTTTTTCATGGTTTCTTCAAATGTGATGTTTCAAACTCAATCAATTATGGATGAATACATTTTTTGCAATGATATTCTGATGAAATTTTGTTATGATATAAATAGTATCATTCTTTCATTTGATTTATACAAGAATTTCAGGAATCGTTTATGGTATTCGAAAGTTTGTTGCCTTTCCATGATTGTGGAAAATACACTTTCGTTGATTATTTGAATGAAAGAAAAAGGTTCAAATTCATTTAAGATTAATATATTTATTTAATAATTTTAAGGATTCATGCAAACCTGTTATGAGCAACTAAAATATCATTTTAAAAAAAAATTATATGTTCATAATAATCGACAGCCATAATCTACACGTGGCTTGTGGAAACGACAAACCTGGATAATCGGGCGAGGAGGAAATGTAGGGGGTGAGGCAGAGAGGTTTCTATTGTTTTCCTGCAGAAAACCAATCGCTGAGCAAAAAAACTTTTCCCATTCAGATTCCAAATTCAGGCAATATTAGGGAGTATCTCCGGTTGAAAATTATTTTTGGAGTTAATCAAATTTATTTGTATCTGTTCCACGCATTGAATGGTTTTCAGATTGTTTTTTTTAATAAATGAAAAAATATTAATCCATGCGAAAAAGTGGCAAGCTCGTCGGTAGTTTTTTTTCACTAGGAGCTGGTACCACTGGCTCGAGGGAGCTCCAATCACAACTTGGACGTTGCTGCTCGTTTGGACTGCGTGCGCAGAAATGTCATTTTTCAGTACTTTTTTCGCTATTATTAATAAACAATGCTCCTAGGCGACAATCTTTTTCACTCAAAAAATCATTGATCGCTTGTTCTAAATGTGTCCAAAGTTTCATGACTTTGACTGTATTTTTTTCCTCGGGTTTTGCAGTTTTTTTTGTGATTTCCATAAGATCACGGGTTAAATGATCACTGTTTCAAAAATTCATAATAAAATAACCATGCTCCCCAGCAGTCTGAAACTTTGCATACGCCTTTTCCATCATTTAAAGAATACGTAAAAAAGAAAGGAAAAATGCTGCTTTTTTTCCAACCCTCCCAGCTCGCCTGATTATCCTTAAAGTCTTGATCATAATCGCAGTATACACGGAGAGAAATGTACGAGAAAAATTACGGTGCTCGCACAGTAAAGTGGGTTCAGATGGTCTTTCCAGGCGAAATGTACCGCAAAGAGTAGGAAAAAGTACTGTTGCACGAGTCATGTTTCGAATAAATGCGGGGAAAAATTCTTATGCACCACGGTAAAATCGAAGCGACAGTGGATTTTTACGAGAAATACGAGAAAAATTATGAGACTGGCTGGCAAATTTTTCCGGTGCTCTACCAGAATCCTAGGACCCGATCGCGCATTTGTAAGATTTCGGCACTCTTCGTCCCCCCGCCGCAACCGCGAACAGCAACTCAACGTGACCAGATGATTTATTCCATCGCCTCCAATCTCACATATCTCCTTACTGAAACCCCAGGTTAATGTTTTTCATAATATCAATTCAGTGAAATATTAATTAGTGTTGTGATAAAACGGTTAAGAAATAAAATAAGTGCCCTTTATTTTCGCTTCATGAGGTGTATAACGCTGTAGATATACATTGGCCTGTCAAACGTTCCACATACGTTTGCCGCGCATTCCGCTTTTAATATGGGAGAGAGGATATGGAGGAGAGGTTAAAATAAAATTAATAGGATGATATGCTGAATGACAATGTTTACTCATTTTTAACTATTGAANCCCGCATACGTTTGCCGCGCATTCCGCTTTTAACCCTTCAGAACTCGCGCTATAAGCGTCGCGCCGCCTTTTTCAAATTTTCGCTTGCCTCTTGCAAAATTGAGCTTTCAAAAAATTGAAAAAATTAGAATGCCTAGCTTGAATCATTTAGAATGGATTAGCAAGGTTCTTATCCGCTGAAAATCCATCAAGGCTACGAAAAATAATAAATTGTTGAGGCTCATACGCAAAAGCGGCGCCGTGCCGCCCAGCGCGAGTAACGAAGGATGTAAAATTTTCAATTCCGCTGTTGCTGTTTCCCGCTCGCCGCACGCTCGGCGCGTACCCATGAACGTGACAACGCTGCGTTACTGAAAGCACGGGCGGCGCAGCGCTCACCACGCGAGTAACGAAGGTCGGTGGCTGAGCGCGAGTTCTGAAGGGTTAATATGGGAGAGGATATGGAGGAGAGGTTAAATAGTATATTTCGTAATGAGTGCAAAAAAGTGTTTTTTGGCGAGTGGGAGGTTTATATCACGAGCCGAAAGCGAGTGATATAATCCCACGAGCTAAAAAACATTTTTTCACGAGTTACGAACAATATTTTTCATCACAATGTGGCGGAAATTGGACTTTTAGGCACGCGGAGCGTGCCGAAAAGTTCACTTTTCGCCACAGCGTGATGAAAATAAAATTAATAGGATGATATGCTGAATGACAATGTTTACTCATTTTTAACTATTGAATGAAATTTNTGCAGCACCGGAATTTTTGTGATGCTAGACAATTGAACCCACTTTACCAGAAGACACGGTAATTTTTGCTTGAATTTCTCCTGAAAAATTCTGGAATTTTTTTCTCCGTGTACCCTAACCGGCTTGAAGCGATGTAAAATAACGATAAAAAAAAAGAAGAGAAATATAAGTCTCAATGTGGTAAAACGAATGATTAAACTGTTAAAAACTAAGTTTAGATCTAAGTACTATGTAACCGGTGGGAATGTAAAAGGCCACGCAAGGCATTATACATTTTGTGTAATAAAAAATCTAAAATCTATTGGCTATTTCATCAGCCTCCGCGTTTGTGGGTAATTCCGCCTAGAGTTTGCGGGTAATGCCGCCCAAGGTTTCAAGGGCTGCTAGACGCTACCGCTAGAGGGCGGTCGAGTGACAGTTCGATTGTTTGGGGTCGTCGGTGGCCACTGGAACATGGGTTAAATTCCGGATAATTTATTATTATTCACGTGAAATCTTTCTCAAACTGGAGCCAAAAAATGGAAACGAAGGATGAAAATAGAAAAAATTATAACAGTTGGTCTGCATTGCTCAAAAAATCCATTAAAACTAGTGATGGCACGAGAGACTTTACGAGACACCACGAGACAATACTTTGGATGGATTGTCTCGGTCTCAGTGAACGCGGAAATTTTTGGTCTCGTCTCAGTCTCGAAATACGCAGTATAGACTTCTGTCGCGATGACTGCGAGTCAATTTATCTCACCTCGGTTTTCAGTTTTTCGCGTTTTTTATATGTAGAAAATCGAAACGAGACAAAGCGAGACAAAAACCGAGATTTTACATTGAAAATACGAAAAACTTGAGATCGAGATGAAATAAATTGACTCGGCGTCAACACGAGAGGAGTTGACACTGCCTATTTCGAGACTGAGAGGAGACTAAAGATTTCTAGGTTCATTGAGACCGAGACCATCTCTCCAAAGTATTGTCTCGTAAAGTCTGTCGCGGCATCACTAATCAAAGCAAGGTGGGCGGTATTGGACGCATGCCGGGCGGTATTACTCTCAAAGTTCGATTTCATCGCTCGCTGGCCGATGACAATTGAATTACATAATTAAATGTTTAATGTTAATAAAAAATCTGTCCTCTTCGCATCTTCGATTGAACACCTCGAAGAACCCATTCTAACCGTTTATGACTCCTTGTGGAGTGCGAGGCTGGAAAAAGAGACTTATTCCCTTTAGGTGGACGGTGCATGCACCAGCTACCCTATATTTCCTTCTCCACTTGTTACTTCAATTACCCCTCACTTCTACCGTTATTTTCACATTTTAATGTGCAAGGATATTCTGAAAAATGCGCTTACCCATTAATGTTGGGAGTCTCAGATCCAGTGGGAGATGATACCTGAACCTTCGGTAGCCCGTATCCCTCCGCTGTGGGAGGGCCACCACCATGGCCATGACCCTCGCGGGAGTGGTGGTAGCGGCCCTGATTGTAGGTAATGGAGTCATCGCTGTCGCTACTGTGTGGCTGATGCTCCGAACCAACTCCTCCACGGGGTCTGAAACATTGCGGGATCATCCGTCATTTCCACTTTCTTCAACAATAGGGAACTTGCATGAAGCTCAATTCTTTCTAATTCCCCCATTCACACATTCTTCAAAACATATGGATAGCTAAATGACGAAAATTATGGAGAAATATTGCCTACGCGGAGAGAGATTCAATAAAAATTACCAGAAAAAAACGTGAAAATTACGTATCGAAACGTAATCCTCGAGCGAAGTAAAGTTCAATAAAAAGTGTGAGTCGGAACTGCAATTGTACGAATTGCCACGTAAATTCTACGATTTGTTCCGTAAAAATTAACCACCCGTCTGATGACTCACCGCTGTGGGGACAACAAGTCGTTCCGTAATTTTTCCCCAACGATTGAGAAATTTTTTGGAACGGAACGCAGAAATAACTCACCAGCTTCATAAAAATTGTCGAACGTTCAACAATTTTTTATTTTGGAGGCATAATAAGTCGGGAAGTTTCTGTAAGATTTTATTTCTTCGGGAAAAATTACGTGACAATTTCGCACTTTGTTCGGTGATGAACCTGAAAATTCACTGAACGTTTCAGATTTCTCCTCTTCCATTCCTATAAAAATTGCCGGAAAACGATTTCTTATTGCAGATTACGTGAATTATTCTGTAATTTTTAATGAATATTTCTCTCCGTGTAGATATTTTATGATAATTTATTTAAAAATCAGTCGTTTTCGAGGCCAATTTTTTGGGGATTATATCACGAACGCGGTCAGTCATTAACGATTTCAAGGTGTTTGAAATATTCAACTTTTAACAATTAATTACTAATTATTGAGCAATTTTTCGAACGTTTGTGAATGACAAATGAATTCAGTAGCGAAGCGGTAAACCGGGTTAAGTCGTTTTCTACTTTTGGCTAGTTTTTGATAAATATCTCGGAATCTAATATCTCGGCCCCACAAAAAGGTCGTGACAAAAAATTTTCTGTCTCTTTTAAATTCCGAGATATTCGCAAAAACTGGCCAATAGTGAAAATCGACTTAACCCGGTTTACCGCACAGAGAGAAATTTTATAGAAAAATTCTAGTACGAGTACTGGAAAAAATGACAATCCATTGGCTGTGAAAAATTCTAGTGCTGTTCAGGTAAAATTTCTTGGTATTTCTGGTAAAAATTTCTGGGGATTTCTGTAAAATTTTCATAGAAATACGGGAAAAAATTCATGTTTTCCTAATAAAATTTTTAGTGCCGGCACCGGATTTTTTTCCTGGCCGTCACTTTGCGCCTCTTTTCCCGTGCTAGCACTAGAATTTTTCTAAAAAATTTCTCCGTGTGCGCTTCGCTACTGAATTATTCAGATCCCAAACTTGAGATTAGAAAATTGAAAAAAATTCATGCAAGTTCCCTATTCTTGAGGAAACAAGACAAGTCTTACATTTTCATCTGGATTATTTTCGAAATATCTCCGAAACTAGTTGGTTTTGAGAAAAACGTCAAGAGCTCTTTTCTGTAGCTCAGTAAATTCTCGAAGGAGAATGTCTCTTGACTACTTTTCTTGTTATTAACCATCGCTGAGGTCATTCGATCAACAATTCACTCGATAATTAATAAATCAATAAATTCACATCAACATGCAGATAATTCCGAAAATGTCTCGAATGTTCGTTTAGAGGCAGATATCCCAAAACTTTTCTGTTTGAGTCAATAAAATTTGAAATTTTCAGAATTATTTAAACATTTTCCAAAAAATGTCTGGCGATTAATTTTCATAGTATTTTTATTTTTGGAGATATTCCCGAAATGCGTGCGAAATCCATTTATTCTGAGATGATTTCCTGTCACTTCACTACTTATTGTTATTATTTACACTGATTTTTATTATTAAATTATTATACTGATGATTATTTCTGGACAACAGAATAGAAATGATAACTTGTCACACGTAGGAAAAAAAACCCTAATGAATTGTATTGACGAGTGAATGTGTTTCAACGGTTGAATCTTCATTATCTTATCGACGAGATTATTTATTACCCGCAGTGTGTTTTTCTTTATCTGGTGTGGGTTAACATAGTACACAGGTGTGAGTAAATATCGTCCGGGTTTATTCATTCTTTCGTACATGATCAATATTCAACAATTTTGTGGCAAAATAGTCGAACTGCGATGTCTCAGCTTGATAAATCGAAAATATGAACTAAAAAAATTAGACCTATCATTCTTAAGGTTCTTCCGGGAATGTACTTTCTATTTTTAGATGAGAATCTAGCCATCTTATGAATGTCAAGAGTCACGTAGGCCGCATACATTGCGCCGTGAGAAGTTACATTTTTTTTCTTTCCGCTCTCTCACACGATCGCATACAAGCCACGGCACACTGACCAGCGACTAAAATTAGACAACAATAGAAGGGCACATGGGAAAATTCTCGATAGATACGACTATAACATGTCACTTGCACTTGGCAACAACCCTACACTGAGAAAAAAAGTTTTTTGAGAAGTACATCTTTACTTATACGAGACCGAACGCGCGCTACAGCGCGCTGTAATTGTAACAATCATAATTGAAAATCTCAAAATTAAATTAATCATGAATTAAATTTGCCGCCTCAGACGACTGGAACTAATGAGGAATAAGCATGACAGACTTGCGAGATATCGATAGTTATCGACTTTAAGTGTATGTTCTTTTTAGAATAGGAACAGGATCAAGAAACTCGTGGCTTGAAAATTTTCAAGATGAAAATGTTTTGCACTAAGAAAAAAAAACTTTCGTCATGAAATTTTGTGCTTGTCTTAATGACGACGACGATTTCTTGATTACAAGAAAGCGATGTCTCATACCAGCTTAAATTAAATTAATTCATTTAATAGTTTTTCAGCCTCAATTCTAAAATATTTCAATGCAAAAACCGCAATTGCCCTCATCTTTCGGACAAGTATAAAATTTCTTGGCGTAAGATTTTTTTTCTTAGTGTGAGATATTGTGCGCTTGGTAATTTTCGAGCCTTGAATTTCTTGATACAAGTCAAGACGTATTTCTTAAAAAACACTTGTCTGCTTAGTGTAGATATCTTTCTACATTAGAAAAATCCAAATCGACTTTTGGTGGTAAAAAATCTGCGGGTGGCTGTATCTTTAATACTAATTTTACATGAATACGTCTAGGGTATTCCCTTTCCTTCACTGAACATCATAGTTTTTCATTGTATATATTTAGGTATATTAGAAGAATTCTGGATTTCGCACTATCTGGTCATGATAAAATGTTTTTTACAATCAGGATACGATTGAATTGTTATGTACAACAAAAATCCCGAAACAAACGTTCAGCATATTTCATTCACGATGAAATCATCACATACAAACACCTTTGCGAATTTTAGCACGGATCCACAAATTTGATCTATTTCGTGCAATAATAACCAACTGTCAGTATTTTGCCGGCCAGCGCTAAGGATCGCTCAAAATTGTAACTTGTTTCTAAAAAAACTGGAGAATTTTCTAGAAAAATCTATAATTTTCTAGAAAATTATAGAATGTTCTAGAATTTCGATAGATGGCGCCACTGCCAATAAGGAACCATACGGACTTTTTCCCTAAATGACCCCCCCACAATGAAAACATAGACGTATCCACGTCAAAAATTGGTACTCCAAATTAAGACTTCACAATTAACGGTCGCAAGGGTTAAAATAAGGATTATGAGGGGCAGAATAAGGGTCACAAGGGTCAGACTAAAGGTCCCGGCGATCAGATTAAGGAGAATGAGGGCAACGACCCCGGCGTTGAAGGGTTAATATAATTTGAATGAATAAATTGGCAATTAACTTTCTTGCCTGCACTTTTACTTGAATAAAACTTGTACTCATCTAGTTCTACTTTGACAAATAAGTTAGCTGAAGGCATCAGCACATTTGAAGGATATTTGACTTTGGTCTCGGTCCCTAGCGTAAAGAGCATAATTTTTTTCGTTGAACCGAAACAGAAACCATTAGTAAGTATTGTGTTTGGTATTTGTGTAACACACCGTTATATTAAAGTCGTGAATTAAATTTGATACTCGGGTTAATACTGCAATTATTATCTCGGAAATGAGTTTTCCTATGACAATAAAAATTCCTCATAATTCACCAAATCAACCAGAAGAAAATGTCCGCTGACATTCATTTGTTGGCAATCATTAGTTATCGAGATTATCCGTCGAATAGTTCAATGAACCCTGAATATTTAATTACATGTTAATTGCTGACTGAAGGCACTCCGCGATGGCCCGGGGGAAAGTTACTTGCAACGGATGAATAAATAATTGGATGAAAAACATTAATCGGCGACCAAGTATTCGTACAGCTAATATTCATTCACCCCAGATTTTCTGAGGAATTAGAAATCAATGCCCTTATTGCTCTCATTTTTAACGGGATTACTCAGCTTGTCATTCGGTATTTAAATTTAATGTAAAAAATATTCTGATAGCTTGTAAGTACAGTCACTAGGCACGAATGTAGAGAACCACTGTGCCCATTGAGTCAGTGTGACTAATGGACACAGTGGAATCCCGGCATTATCGGCCGGCTATTATATACGACTGGGGTTTTCCATGGTTTCCCTTGCGGTCCTAGCCCGAATGGGGTACAGTTAAGAGTAAGACGGCCCATGGTAACGCAGAAAAAATCAGGAGAGAGAAGTGGGAGAGGCAAGGCAGACGAATGGGGAGCCTATAAAACCGTAATGGTAGTAGCAAAGAAATATGAATAAAAAAAAAATTGAATTAACAGTTAGGAAAATATAAATTGAATAGAACGAAGAGAAAATAGTAAATTTTGAAAATAGTGTATTGCACGGAAAAAAATATACCTGAATTAAGTATAACTTTTAACTTTTAACATTATTTATTACAAGAAACATACATTCTTATAAATGGCCTTTGCCCGACGGCCTTCAGCCTAGAATAGACTTCTTTTGTACTGTATCAAATTATTTCTATCAGGAGTTGTGTACATGTGGTTCAATGTTGATGACAG